GCCGCAGGTGCGGTCTCGCTGAAGTGGTTTGAGGAGCGCGGAAGCGGAAAATATGGCCCTTGCCAGGTTCCGCAGAGGCGGGATTAGGATCACTTAAGCGGTCCCGCAGATGCGATTGGGGACCGCAGAAGCAAAAAGTGGCCTTAAGTGAAAAGTCCGCAAAAGCGGACGTTGACCGCATAAGCGGAAGTCGCAAAAGAGGTAATTGGTCCGCAGAAGCGGAAATAACTGGCAGTTAAGTGAGATTTATCTTCTTCGCAAATTTTTGAAAGGGTAACATTTTGGACTCCGAACCTTGAGAACTTTGAGGCGATTTTGAAGAGGGTTTCGAGGGCTTTAATCAGGTATGGATTCTTGGACTTAGAGTTTGATTTTATGGTGTATAAACATGGATTTAGACTGAATAATCAAGTAATCAAAGGTCAAAAATGGTGGTTTAGGGCTTGAACTTAAGAGAGTCTAAAATGGGGATTTGAGGGGTCAAATGGACTCCGATTTTCATAAATTCGATATGCATGGACTCGTGGCGAGACGAGGAACCCGGTGATGTGAATTTTGTAATTTTTCGAGAAGTGGGGCTGGGGCTCGGGTTTTGCCAACTTCGTGGTTTTTGGTGTTTTTTCGAGTCCTTTCGATTGGGTTATGTTTCTTTGGCCTATAGTAATGTATTCCTTGTGGTTTTGACCAGATTCGGCACGCGAGGAGGTTGATTCGAGAGGAAAAGGCATAGCGAGCTAGACTTGTGGCCGGCTTGAGGTGAGTAATAGATGTAGATGATGACCTGAGGGTTTGAAACCCCGGTATATCGCATTGTGACGCTATATTGAGGCGAGACATGTACTCTACGATGAGTGCGGGGTCGTTTGTGATTGGGGACTGTGGCTTAGTCCGTCCCGAGTGATGTTCATACTGTGTTCTTGACTAGAGATTGATTGGTAATCATCGTACTTGGATTTTATGGATATATTTGGGCTTTGTGCTGATTATTTGAATCCTTCAAGGATTATTATCACTGTTTCCATGATACTTAGCATGTTAAATGACTTCAGTCCTGAGTTAAACATTGTTTGAAATGTTCAGTCATATTTTTAAGATTTAAAAACTTAAACTACATTTTTTTTGACGTTTGGAGCTAAGAGCTATTACTTAATATTGCCCGAGTGGCTTACTTGCATATTCCGGACTGAGCATGGATCGGGCTGCACGCCGCAGCGATTTTATGTCGATATTGCGCTTGGGCTGTAGGAGCCCCTCCGGAGTCCGAACCCCCACAGTGAGCGCGGGTACCCAAATGGATCGGGCTGCGCGCCGCAACGGTCATATGCATTTCATTGCATTCATGCATTGGTATTTATTTGCTTTACATGTCATTTGAATTGCTGTTATCTCACCGTTAAATGTGCTGGCTTGCCAATTATAGCTTTACATTGTAATATTTCGTGATTTCTTATCTTCAACCATTATCTATGCTTATTACTCACTGAGTTGGAGTACTCACTTTACTTCCTGCACCATGTGTGCAGATACAGGTGTTCCGGAGGCTTAGTAGAGTTGTTGCTGCTCTCCAGATTATCACAGGAGTTGTCGAGGTAGCTGCCTGGCGTCCGCAGGACCCGACTTCTCCCCTTATCCCTTTGTTTTCCCGCATCCTAGAGTTTCATATGTTTAGATTTTGCTACTCAGTTGTATTTAGAGGCTCTAGACTCGTGACCCCAGATCTGTTGGGAGTTGTATTGGCATTTGTTATGGTTTTTCCGCACTATTTCTGTCTATTACTACGGGTTGGAATTATGTTATCTGATAATTTAACTCTATTCCTTGGTAATGGGTTGCGTATTTGGATTTGGGAATGTTTAAATGGTCGGGCTTGCCTAGCATTGTGTTGGGCGCCATCACGACCGGGATTCGGGTCGTGACAAAACTGGGTTCCCGCGCTCACTGGGGGTGTACAGACTCTGGGAGAGGCCCCTTACGGCCCAAGAGCAATAATAAGCCATCTCGTGGCATAATGAACAGGCTCTCGGCCTCATATCAATCACAAGACACCTCGTGGCATAATAAATCTGGCCCTCGGCCTCTCATATATCACAATCGGTACCATATACTGCGGCGTGCAGCCCGATCCCATAGTATCCTCACAACACAGGCCCTCGGCCTTAATCAGTCAGAATCTCACAAGCCACTCGGGCAACAGTAAAACATGATGCTTAGCCCAAAATAATATTTAAAATACCAAAAACGAGTAAAGATGGCTGAGTTGTGAAAAACAGTAAAGTATAGTATGACTGATTACAAATACTAAGTCAAATTAGTGAGGAATAGCAGTGAAACTCCTGGCACAAAGCCCAAATATGGCATTCAGCCCAAAATATGATAATAGCAAGCAGTTTTCAATCAAATACGCAATTAAACAGTCATATGGGACGGACTAAGTCACAATCCCCAATAGTGCACGACCCCACGCTCTTCACCTAGCGTGTGCGTCACCTCAAAATAGCACAACCATGTGAATTCCGGGGTTTCATACCCTCAGAACAATATTTACAATCATTACTTACCTCTATCCGGTCCAGTATCCAGCCCGCGATGCCTTTGCCTCTCGTCTCGCCCTCAACTCGCTCGAATCTGCCAAAAATCAGAATCACGACGTCAATATATGCTAAGGGAACAAATCCCATGCAAAAATAATGAAATTACGATCCGAATCCCGAAATTAACCAAACCCGGCCACCGAGCCCACGTCTCGGAATCCGACAAAATTAACACCAATGGAACCCTTATCTTCCCATGAGTTCATGCATATCAAATACTTCAAAATCCGACAACAAATGGCCCTTCAAATCCTTAATCAAAGACCTAAATTCCTAAGCCCTAGTTTCCTCCATATTTACCCAATTTTTCCAAAAATTTCAAGTCTAATCCGTGAAATAATACCATAAGGACGAGTTTTTATGATCCAAAACCTTACCTCAATGATGTCTCCTTGAATTCTCTCTTCAAAAATCGCCCAAAAGCTCCAGAAAACATGTTTAAAAATGGCGAAACCACTGAAAATCGCGAAGGAAAAATTATATACATTCTGACCCAGTGATTCCGCACCTGCGGTCGTCTACTCGCTCTTGCGCAACCGCATCAGCGGTGCCAAGCGCCGCTTCTGCGGTCCCCACTTAAATCCCAGGTGCCGCATCTGCGAAGCATATCCCGCACCTGCGCTATCGCAGGTACGCTTCCTCAACCGCTTCTGCGGTTCCAGCTGATGCCTTCCTTGGCCGCATCTGCGGCTCCAAACTCGCTTCTGCGAGACCGCACCTGCGGTCCTCTAGCCGCAGGTGCGGTTATGACAGCAAATGGGAAAAACTTCAGCTGCCAAAACCCAATTCAAATCTTCCGCCAACCATCTGAAATCACCCCGAGGCCCCCCGGGACCTACCAAAGGCACCAACAAGTCACATACCACTCTCCAAACTTGTACCAATCTTCAAAACACCTCAAACAACATCTGATGTTCTAAACGTCAATACCACACAAGAGGGGGGTGATTTGTGTGGTACCCAATTTTCGCTCTAGAAGAACCTGGTTCTTCTAGGTATACTAACTACTGCTGTTTGCGGAATAATAAATACAAAAAAATAAAGAACACAAAGATTTTTACGTGGGAAACACCTGACTCAAAAGGTGAATAAACCATGACCTACTACTCAGTAGGATTTTCCCAAACTTCCACTAAAATCACTGGGCCAAAACAGCATTTACAAAACTCTTGTAAACCTAAGGATTAAACTCTAATCCCAGTGTGGCACACAGCCTCAACTGTTGCGACACCTTCAAGTTAGCCTATAACTTGAATACTCAAAGTACCTATTATAATTGCTTCTACAAAAGGTGGAAAGGTACAACATTAAACCACCTACTACAATTGAACTAGAATAAGAATAAACACAATGGAATTGGTTCTTCTATGTTGTCCAAGTAGCTTCAGGAATGCACACTTGAATCTCACATAAATTGCTTGCAAAATTATCTCGCTCTTTTGCTCTCAATTTAGTTTCACTTCTGCGTTTGTGCAATCCCCGTAAAAGAGAACAATTACTGTTATTTAATGAGTTAGTAATCAGAGTTTGATTGAGACTCAATTACTGATCTTCCATCGAAGTTGAGTCCTTGAACAATACAAACTCCAACCCTATCCTTTATCCTGATTGTGTCCTCTTCCCATGAGGATACTTTCTTTCCACATCGAATATGCAACCTTTTCGATCAGTTCAGGAGATATTTCTGCTTTATCCTTGTGACTTATCTCCTTCACGTGTATCTCACATGTATAGGTTGATAAACACTGTGTCAAATGATGGATCTGGTCCATGACTGAGTTCATTTGTCATTCTTCAAAACTTCACCTGAACTTGGGCCAACAAATTCCCCCTTTTTGATGATGACAAACTCTGTGCTTTTACTGATCAGAGAACCTGTGGAACTCGGCTTAATCATCAACACTTTAACTTAGAAATTTTAACTTATCATCAAGGACCAGGTTTAATCAGGTTATAAATATCACATTATTCTAAATAACAAGTAAAGCACAATATCTATTCCCCCTTTTGGCATCATCGAAAAGTTGCAAATAATGTGAATCCCAGATTTTAATAATTACTCATAGCCACTAGGGTAACTGCAAGTAAAAACATGGTTCAATTAATCAACAACCAACAAACAAAATTAACTATTAAGATCAGAATCTTCATAGAACAAGAGAAAAAGCAAATTGTCATTGATTAGGATATGTTTCCACAAACAGACCACAAAGAAAAAGAAAAACTTCCAAACATGAGCAACAAAAACAGAAAAAGTCCCGAATCTGGGTCACTAGGGGTTCTAGATAGGTTCAAAAACAAGAACTGGAAGACCTAAGGCTTGGAGGAACTAGAGGGCTGGGTTTGGAGAAGGTTGAGCATATTCCTAAGCATTCCTTCACTTTTCTCCTTTTCTTTTGCTAGCTCAGCTCAAAGGCCATCTCTTACAGCTTCCAAATTAGCAACACGAGCCTGAAGCCTAGCAATTTCAGCATCCTTAGTTCCACACTCTTGAACCAAAGCCCTAACCTTGCTATTCACTGGTGTCTTCAGAGATGAACCAGGTTCAACTGGGGGTGGCATTGACAGGATAGTCACAAGCCAATAAGGTCCTAACACCAAAATGCTCCTTGCTTGATGCCATCTCCCATTTCTTCAAAAGCACCCTTAGCTTGTCCAGCACAGTTGTGAGTATGAAACTATATGGAGTTGCATGTGCCTTGGATCCATTAATGACCCTGTCCAGTAGTTTGACAATAAAAGCAGGCCAATTTATCTGCTTTCCACTCTCAAGGCACTCCATAAGAACCAGGTCCATATAGTTGGCAGTATGCCTCCTCTCCTGTCTGGGAAGCAGGCACTTGTTCACAAATTCAAATAAGACCTTGTGCTCAGGTCTCATCTCACTCTTCTGAACAAATCTGGCTTCTGGTACATCTTCAACATTTGCAGCATCACAGAAATTTCTAGTAATTTGAAGTGCAGTGGGAAGAGATTCCAGACATGACCACCTCTGCCTTGTATAGTCATCATACCCTTCACTTGGTATGTCCAGAATCTCACCCAGTTTGATTGCATCAAACTCTACTTTTACACCCTTCACCATGCTGGAGACTACCCATTTCTCACAGTGGCATTGGCCATGAACTCAATCAGCTCCTTCCTGGCCAGCCTCCCATCCATTTCAAGGACCATGTCCTTCCACCCTTGTGCAGCTAGGGTATTCACCAGTCTTCTCATTCCTGGCTCATCCAGGTCTTTCAACAACCTGCCTTTCAAAATTTTTCTCCCGCCAAAGATGGAAAACCTATCCTGTTATTTCTCAGACTCCTCCTCTTCTTCTTCTCCACTCCATTCTTCTTCTTCTTCAGTAATTTTTACCTGTTTCCCTTTCACTGCAGATCTGGTTCTTTTGGCTAAGGAGGGTTCAGTAGATACAGGTGCAGAGTAAGACTTCTTGGAAGAAGTCTTGGATCTTTTTGGTTTGGGAGTAAGAACTTCTTCAGTTGTTCCTCTTTCTTGATGGACCAGGTCCATCTCCTCTTCTTCTTCTTCTGCAATCTCAACACTCTCCACAACCTTAGCCTTTCCTTTTTCCCTCTTTTTCTTCCTACTATCTTCCAGAGCTTTCTGCAATTCTGCTTCACTTTGCTTCACCTTGCTTCTAGTAGCTCTTCCCTTTGGTACTGAAGGGACAGTAGGCTTTGGAGATGACACTTTACTTTTCTTTGTTGGCTTGGAAGCAGTTGGAGCCTTTTGTGAGGAAGCTTTGCACTTCTTTGGATCATAGATGGCTCTAACCTTTTTCAGAATGTCAGCTAGGGTTTCCTCAACAGATGAACCTGGTTCATCCTGTTGCTTGCTCAGATGAACGAGACCTTCAGCAGCTTCCCCTGAACCACTTCCCCCTGACTTGTTGCCACTCTCCTCCACACATCCACAGATAGCAAGAACTTTTTCTTTCTTTTTACTTCCCTTCCTACTTGACTCAGCCCCCTTTACATCTTTCACAGAACCAACCAAAATGAAACCTATTATCTACATTTTCAACCATATCAGAAAATACCAAACAAGTATTTACCTCACCAGGGGTTTCTTGATTCTTATCAGTGTCAGAGGAACCATGTTCTTCCCCTTCGCTGGCAGAGATAAAAGCTTCAGACTCAGAGCTGGAGTCAGATTCTTTAGCAGAACTTTCCTTCTTCGGGATAGCCCTCAATTTCTCATTTAGAGCTTTTGTCAAAGAACTAGAAGCTCCAGTTTTTCTAGCCAATATTTTCTTCCGGCGGAACCTTGGTTTTGGGGTTTCACTAGGGGTGTAGATGAGGATGTATTAGAAGGGGATATTGGTGGGGGAGTTCCAGGATTATCTTGGGGATTAGTCATGGTGAATGATTCCTGGAGAGGATTTGAGAAATTTTGAGAGAAAAGATAATCAGAACTAGAGAAGAATTTTTTGACGGTTATGAAATAATGAAGAAGGGTGTGGTGAGTATTTAAAGATTATTAGAAGTAATTGCAGTAACGACAGCTTTTTGCAGGAGTCAATTAGAAGTCTAATCACTTTAGAATTCCGGTCTCTTAGTGGTTAATAGGCGACGCTAGATTTTAGGAAAAAATCCCGTTTTCTTTAGAGTTCTAGGAGAATGAAACTGGTTCAATGCTCAATGGATTGGATTTCTGGGAATTTGATGAATGTAGGACTTTTGCTCATGATTGAAAAATTAACTTTCTAATTGTGCAACGTATAGAAAACATACCTGAACTTTCTCATAAGCGTATACTGATGAACCAGGTTCTTCAAGTAGAACTCTCTTGAACATGCCTCAAATGTCATAATAGAAAAAACTTTGTAAGAGATCAGTGAGTCATATATACACATGTCACAGGAGTATACTGATTAAAGTTTGAAACTAAGTAAGAATTGATCTAGATATTTACACAATAGTTAGAACTCCTAACCAAATTTTTTTTCATTTTGTTTTTTTTCATTGTGCATTCTGAACTGGACCTATTAGGTGATCTTAATCATCCCTAATTCCAACATGTTCCTCTCAAAGTTTTCTTTACTCAGTGCTTTAGTAAAGATGTCAACTATTCGTTTATCAGTAGCACATAATTCTATTGAAATCAATCCTTTCTCATAGTTATCTCTTAAGAAGTGGTGTCTGACATCTATGTGCTTAGTCCTCTTATGATGAACAGGGTTCTTTGTCATACTTATAGCACTAGTGTTATCACAAAATATTGGAATACATCCCTCTTCAATTCCAAGATCTACCAGCTGTTGTTTGATCCATAGTAATTGAGCACAACTAGAAGCAGCAGCAACATACTCAGCTTCAGCAGCAGATAGGGCCACTGAGTTTTTCTTTTTGGTAGCCCATGACACAAGACATGAACCAAGGAAGTGTGCCATACCTGAGGTGCTCTTTCTATCCACTAGGAAACCTGCATAATCAGCATCAGCATATCCTACTAGATCAAAATTACTACCTTTAGGATACCAAAAGCACAGATCAGTGGTTCCTTTTAGATATCTCAGTATCCTCTTGACAGCAGTCAAGTGAGACTCTTTTGGATTTGCCTGAAAACAAGCACAAAGTCCTACATTGAAAACAATGTCAAGTCTGCTAGCAGTGAGATACAAGAGTGAACCAATCATACCCCTATACAACTTTTGATCAACTGATGAACCAGGTTCATCAACATCTAATTTAGTGGCAGCTGCAATGGGCGTGTCTATTTCTTTAGATTCCTCCATTTTAAACTTTTTGATTAGCTCTTTTGTATACTTCTGCTGATGGATCATGGTTCCATTTGGACTTTATTTGATCTGTAAGCCTAAGAAGAAATTAAGCTCACCCATCATGCTCATTTCAAACTCACTCCCCATTAATTTTGCAAAGTCCTTACTTAGCTTGTCAGTGGTGGACCCAATGATTATGTCATCAACATAAATTTGCACAACAAGGAGATCCTTACCTTTTTCCCTTAAGAATAAGGTACTATCTATTTTACCTCTCTTGTAACCATGCTCCAGCAGGAATTTTGACAGTCGTTCATACCATGCTCTTGGGGGCTGCTTGAGTCCATAGAGAGCCTTGTCCAGCTTGTACACATGCTCAGGACATTCCTTACTCTCAAACCCTGGAGGTTGTTTCACAAACACTTCTTCTTTTAGGTAGCCATTTAGGAAGGCACTTTTGACATCCATCTGATGAAGAGTGAATTCCATATGTGCTGCAAAGGCTATGAGAAGTCTGATTGCCTCTACTCTTGCAACTGGAGCAAAAGTCTCATCATAGTCTATGCCTTCCTCTTGGCTGTAACCTTGGACCACCAATCTTGCCTTGTTCCTTGTAACTGCTCCATTTTCATCAAGTTTGTTCCTGAAGGCCCATTTTGTACTAATGATTGATCTGTCCTTGGGTCTTGGTACTAGGTGCCAAACTTGACTCCTTTCAAACTGGTTAAGCTCATCCTGCGTTGCATTCACCCAATCTGCATCCTGCAAAGCCTCAACAACATTTTTAGGTTCAATGATAGATAGAAAAGCATCAAAAGCACACAGATTCTTTAATTGTGATCTGGTTTTAACTCCAGATGTTGGATAAGTGAGAATGTTCTCAATGGGATGAGAACTTTGATAGTTTTGAGGTTTCACAACCAACTGGCTTCCGCTATATGTTTCTGCCATTTGCTGAAGAACAGGATCATGAACAGGTTCCTTCAAGGATTTTATTTCAATTCCACTTTGACTTCTTCCCCGTATGAGGTTGCCCTATATGGAAGAACCTGTTCCATCACCTGTTCCTTCTGTTGGTGCCACTTTGACCTGAGATGATGCATCATTCAAGTCTTGTATCAATCCAATGGCTTCCTCTTCATGTTCCCGTCTCTCAGAAAGAATGTTAGTTTCATCAAATACTACATGAACACTTTCTTCTACGCACAAAGTTCTTTTATTAAACACTTTATATGCTTTGATATGTGAAGAATATCCCAAGAATACTCCCTCATCACTTCTGGGATCAAACTTTCCGAGGGAGTCTTTTCCATTATTGTGCACATAGCACTTGCAACCAAATGCCCTAAGATGGGATATGTTTTGTTTTATCCCTTTAAGTAACTC